ACCCTGCAGGCAGATGGCGTCACCATTTTGCAGATTAAAAAACAAAACCAAACTAGAGCAACTCAGTACCTAGCCCAAGGCCACCCCGCTACTGTGTCTCTGAGCCCAAGCCTCTTGCATTGCTCTCCGCACAAGTCCTGCCTTCTCTGTAGGCCGGTGACACAGAAGGACAGCAGGCAGGCGGGTACCAGAATTCACAGGACATCTCCTCAAGGGCAGAGTGTGGGAACGGATGGGGCCAAAATGCCACTGCCAGGCGAGCACTTCAACAGGAGCACCAAGGGTAAGGGAAGGGCCTGCGTTCGGGGGTCTGCAAAACTGGGTTAATTTGCTGAGGTCTGGAGACATGGGACTTTAATGGAACATTCATATAAAAGCAGAACCTGATATTCATTCAGAATCCGTAACAAATCCGCAGAGCTCTAGCACTTACAGTGATGCACGCTTTAATTAGCGTTCCCTTGACCCCCAGATATAGGAGAAAACCAGGGCCCCACCTCGGGGCTTAACACTCTGCCATCGCCCTTCTGGAGTTGGTGACAGATTTATCTTCGAGTTTGTGTTTTCTCAGTGAAGTCCCATGGGACAGTGGAGTCTGTGCTGGGGACATGCGGCCCTGGCTTCTGTGCTGCCCAACCGCCCACCAGCCCCTCAGCACCGGGCTGGCGTCGCAGGCCCCTGCAGTGGGGGGGTCAGGGTCAGGTCCGGTATGTGTGATGAGTCTCAGGACGGGGCCCCAGGTGACTGTGAGGGTCTGCTCTGGCCCCCACGCGTCCCCACGCCCGAGGGTGTGCGATGGCAAACAGCGGATAGAAACTCCGTGGCAGGTCAAGACAGGGACCAGGGCATCAAGGACACAGCTTTTTTCTTGCCTTGTGGACAAAAAACCCTACACTTTCGCTGTGCACTGGGCCCTGCAAATTATGAAGCTGGTTCCCCAAAAAACTAACTGCTGTGACTCTTCTAGGGCCCAGAGAGCGGCTCTGAATGAGCAAATCCACAGACCGGTAGTTTAAGCAACACATGTTTATTTTTTCACAGTTCTAGAGGCTGCAAGTCTGAGATCAAGGTGTCCACAGGGTTGGTTCCTCCCGAGGCCTCTTCCTGGATTACAGGACACCTCCTTGCTGTGTCGTCATGTGGCCTTTCCGCCTGGTGTCTCTTCCATTTCCTATAAGGACACCAGCCCCAGGGGATTAGGGCCCCACCCTTATTTAACCTTAATTACTTCCTTAAAGGCCCTGTCTCTAAATACAGCCGCGTTGGGGGTTGGAGCGTCAACATTGTGAATTTTCGGGGCACACAGTTCCATCCTTTGACATCTTTAGCTGGCAGGGGCTTCACAGGCACACGGGGCGGGTCCCTGCTGCCGTCCCGGGGTGCAGGGAATGATCTTTGGAACTAGCAGGCGTAATCTACTCTTCCAAGATATTAGGCAACGACAAGATCAGAAAGGGGCAGATTCATGAGCAAAGTGTGGTGCACAGTTTAAAGTCTATAATGTAAACATACATTAGTATAGCATTTTCGGAAAGTAGTTTGGCTGGAATTTTTAAGAGTCATAAAAATGTCCATGCTATTGACCTATTAATCCAGCTTCTGGGAATTTATTATTAGGACAAATTTCAAAACAGGGGAAGTCTTTTCTGCGCGTATTTATCATGAGTATAATTTACCCGTTTTCTCAGCGTTGGATCTTTTCTTCAATG